TATAGATAGGCATTAGGAGCGTAGGAGTGCAAAATGGCTTGATTAAAGTCACATATGAAGTCTGTGTCAGAAATATTATTTGCTCATATATCTCCCTAGCCCTCATGCAGTACCGTAGCTTTGGCGAATGTGCCTTCTTGCTACAAAGGCAAGAACTATCCCCTAAACTCCAAGACTATCTCATAATTGAAATTTCATTTAGAAGTTTGTCTTTGTTTTGGGAAAAATCACATCATATATAATTTCCAAACATGTTTGTTATATGGTGCTAACAGCTCAGACTCTCTTGAATCTTTTGTGGTTTCATGCATTGCATACTACTTTTAAAATTTAAGCTGTATTCAGTTTTCTTGCGGATTTGCAGTGCAATTGTCCAATAGCATGTATGGACACTACCTTCATTGCATGGGGGTAATACCCTCCTCATGAATGCTGATTCACCCAACATCTCCCATAAAAATGATGACTCACTTTTCCATTTGGCAGCTAACTTTCCAGAAACATTTATTCCTCAAGCTATTTATCCTTGTGTGGCAGTCCTCAAGGTTTAACATTCCTGCACGGAGAATGTGGCAAAGGGACATTGTGTAGAGGAACGTACTGACTTTGTCAATGGAATTTCTCAGTACGGAATAACTACTCTGTATCCCAGTTTATTTTACAATCCCATTTCCCTCCCGTTCCGTCAGAGCTGTGTGCATACACATACATAACTGCAAAGGCTTCAGGCAACAACTGCAGTCTCAAGTTAAGGTCAATCAGTATAGCTGAATTGTTGATGTCTAGTTATAGGTAACCGATACTTTCTTCTGGCATGGGTCAACGTTGTTAAATATATGGTTTAAAAATGCCCCTTTGCAATTAATTTTCTGCTTGTTTTTAGATTCACTACTGTGCCCTAGTCCTTCTGTCCCCCTGACAAGATGGGTGGTGAGAGGTAAAGCGCTGCTTTACTTTGTCAACATTCAGATTTCCCCCCTACATTATAAAACAAGTTCAGGGGTTGTCCTTATCTTCCACACCAGTGCATCTGATCCCTCATGACAAAGGGGCGTGAGATGGTTGTATTCATGTTATGAATACCCTGTTACAGTTTTTTCAGTGAACTCATTCTGGGCTGTTTGCTTCTATTCACCACGCAGTCAGAAAAGGACCATTTGCTTCCGTTCTTCTCGTGTACCATTTCTAACCAGAGAATAAGCTGTATGAAATGCACAGAGTCTGAAAGGATTTTAGTCTTGCTTGTGACAACACTCTAACTTGAAACTTTCTAGCTTTTAAGAAAAAGGAGTTTTTACGTCATACTGAAGTTTAAGAAACAGTAATATTTTCCATAGATTTTCTTACTCCTATGCTTGTCGATAGCTTCGCTAAAGGAGGAACGCTGTACTTAAAAGAGCTGTTAAGGAACCAGTAAACTCACTAGGACACCGATTCCTATTGTAGTAGGTCAGCATGTCCCTGGTGGTACTCTGATTTGCAGTAGTAGATCTAATCTTCTAAATCAATACTTGATTGCAGTTCAGAAGCCAGCATCCATTACGCGAGGTATGTCCAGTCTTGCTGCCTTTTATGCTTATTTTGGGGTCTATAAAGCCTTACAGAAAGGGCTCAAAAGCAAAGGTTAAGCATGTTATTGAACCTCTGTGTTTAATGAAAGGGGTCCAATGTACCTAAAATGTTGAAGGAAAATGTGCAGCACAAGCTTCTGAAGTTTTACACAGAGCTTTGTACATTCCTTAAACTTTTCAACAGTGGTATGATGTGCTTGCAATAAGCTGTAGTTACATAAATATATAATGCACTTGAGGGGATCAAGAAGTAACACTTGTAACAATGAAGTGCTTTGTATTTAACAAGGTTGTTTAGACCATGAAACAAATCCAAGCTAGGGAGAACAGAATCTCATAAATTTGTACTTTGAAAAGTGAGACACCTTGTATTTGGCACCAAAATAAAAGGCAAACATCTTCCCTATTTTCAGAGAAGATGCAGAGGCGTGTGCTCTAAGTAGATCTCATCCAGCTAAAGCTTCATGGTTACTGCAAATTATCCTCCAAAAGGTTTAGTGTATTGTGATGTACAACACCACAAAGAAGAATAAATTATAACTGCCAAATTATGGGCCAGATTTCACTTCTTTTACTCACCTTCACTGACTCCGGTATTCAAGATCTTGTCTCAGTCATATTTCTGAAGAATATAATTTTAGTTGTTACGATGAAGGGATTGCAGAAACGGGTCCCAAATGAAGAAAACATTCAGCGAAATCTTTGCTTTTAGAATTATCTCCGATCGCACTTGTTAATTCACAGCGGATCTCCCATTAATTACTGTGAATTAGCTAGTTGTGGCTGCTCAATTTAGGTTAATTCTAATCGTTTTACAGTGCATCGCTAATTATTGAGAAACCTTATTCGAAAGGGTGCAGGTGCGAGCCGGGAAATCCTAGGAAATCACTGCTTTCGCTCACGTTCAGCGCTGCGCGTGTTTCCAGGCCCGGCGTCGTGTTTGCTTTGGATAGCTCCTAGCACCAGCTTCTCGTGCAGCGCCGTTTCTGTGAGGAGCCAGATACAGGGCAAAGTCACAGCCCCGCACAAAGCAAGGAGGAGAGGCTGCTCAATGCTCGTTGCCTCCTCGAAGACCCCATCCCACGTTTTACCGGCCCCCGCGGGGAACTCGGGGGCGCCGCGGCTTTCCAGCCACCGCGCAGCGCTTTTGTGCTGGGTGCAAGGCCCCGGCACCACTGCTTTTCAAATACGTCAACACTCGTCCTTAATTAGTCCCTGCAGCATAATGAGGCATTCCTCTTCTGCAAAGGGTCCAGTGTGCGGCGGGTCCTGCTGGCTACGCTCAGCCGCAGAGACAAAGGGCTGGAGGCAGCTCGGCCGGGCCGGGCCGTGCGGCGGCGGAGGTGCGGGCAGGGCCGGCTGGGCGAGACACTGGGCCCATTCTCCGCTATTGTGGGCCCGGGCTGAATGCAGCTTTGTGCCTTTCGCCCATTCCAAGGGCGAGACAGCTACAG